TATCTGTGTGTGTCTGTAAAAAAAGGGGTAGGTGTACCTTACACGTCATAAGTGCGATTTAGCCTGTTTCCCTCATGGGTACAGTTACATCCGAAGTCACTATTTGGATAGGTCACAATTGAGATGCACACACATGATTGGCTAAGAAGCTGATCAAAGGTGCATATTGTAACGGGGTATCCTGTTACATGAAATTGACACTAAACGGTGTCAATAAAGAGATTGTCTAGTGTGACAATTCCCTATCAGTATTATCCGAATGGATAATATTGAAGGAACAGTATCCCCTTCTAGGATAAAATTCATGCGCTGCTCCAATATTGGTAAATAAAGTCACATCAAACGAGTTTACCACCAATTGCTGCTTGACGCGCGTAATGACTGGTAAGCAGGTTATCGTCATACGACAATGTAGATAAATATAGTTCGATGAAGTATGAAGTTATTTTGATAGCTTAACTATATTAAATACAGTTCTCTTTTACCCATTACTCAACATAGCCGTTAAGTAGATTAGCTTCCTCTGTACGTACTAGTGTACGTGAAGTTTCGCGGCACCCGAGACAAATGGTGCCCCGTTACACCTGGTAGCACTTCGTAGTCCGTCCAAAGAAAACTTAGTGTTCGTCCAACATGCACACGTTGGACGTAGAAGACGACAAGTTTCACGTCACACACGTCCAAAGAAAGGACGTGATGGCCGCCGTCGGCCGAGGAAAGGTCCGAGGCGCAAATCCAACCATGTCGCTATGCCGCGACAGCAAGTCGGCTTGTCCATAAACGGACAGGGTCAGTAGGGGAGGAGCGCTCTGCTGATTCAGCAACGTCAAGCAAATTTTCAGGACTCTTGACGAGGATATCTCTCAACACACAGTCGATGTGTGTTACTGCCCCTACTAATGAGGTGTACCTCATCACTTTGAAGGTCGAAGTGACAAGTGGAATGCTACTTCGCGCCCTATTTAATTGTGGGGCGTCGAACAGTTTGACTCAACGCCATTTTCTAAAAGATAGTAGGATCAACTACGTTGAGCGAAATATCGCTCCAACGAGGATGACGGTGTGCCTTGCCACAGGGGCATCCGTAACATTTAAAAAAATGTGTGGTGGGAATCCATTACAAGATAGAAGGAAAGCAGTACGATGATGATTACATCGTACTGTATCTGGATGACAAATTTGTTGTCATACTCGGTCTGCCATGGTTTAGAAAGTGCCAGACATGGATCAGCTGGCAGCATAGATCCTCGGAGATGCCTGCCGTCTGTTCATCAGGTAGCCATCTGGTGAACTTCTTAGAGCATCCACAAGCGTGTGGATTTACTACGAGTGAGTGCGATGGCCTCACTTGTGGTACGGTCGTTAGTACGACTGCACAAGATCACAGTGTAGAAGGCCACTACACTGTGGAACCAACTTCCGACACCTGTCTAGAGACACAGGCTGCGTCGAAGGTTCGCCACTCAAAAAAATCTAGTGGATTGGAACACGGATGCACACCAACAAGGGTGCATCCAAGAAGAGAGTTGAGTGTTGTTCGTTATGAACAACACGTTAAATCGAGATCGGCTAACAGAGAGTCGATCACAGAGCGAACAAGATAGACTTACAGAGAGTCGATCGAAAAGGACCTGAATGTGGTCATGCACCCACAGTCAGAACACGTATTGGAAGAAAGTTCCAGCGCTCCTAAGAGTGATAACTCCCGATAGAGTTATGTTGAGGGTGTGGATCCCCAACCACCTGCGGATGTGTTGACCCAGAAAATCACCGAGACAGTGAATGTCATGGTGAATGACGGATATACTGTAGGCGCTTATACACTTGATCTTGTTACACCTCCGAAGTCAGCTTTGGAGGTAATCAAGCATCCAACACTAGAATCTAAAAGATTGTTGCAAGATTTGCGTAGTGACAAGATCAAGCAGATCTGCGTACTCGTCCTCCTTGGCGAGTACGTCGCCTATATTCGGTCGGCATATGTGTCTACTGAGAACGAACGGGTTCTCAGTATCTCATCGACGGATGAGAGTGTCCTCTATGGGATGACCCTGATTGAGCGGTACGCGTCTCAATTTTGAAATTCATTGAAGACGAATCCACTGTATAAGGATTCGATTGAGTGTAGGAATGTTTTCCCTGAATCCGTACTATGCAAGTTGCCATAAGACAAAGGATCTTGACATAAGATCGAACTGATACCGGGTTTGAAGTACATACATGAAGCAGTGGCTACTGCCTCGTGAAAAAGTACTTGCGGCTGACAAATTCGTTGCCGATAGTTTAGCGGCTGGTCATGTGAGGGAATCAACATCCCCACACAGCTCTCCGACTTCCTGTGTGCGAAAAGCAACAGGAGGTTGGCGGATTGTGCACGCGTTCAACCAATTGAACGCTGTAACGGTACCGGCTCGGACCCCGATACCGGGGAAAGACGTCACTATCAATGGTATGGCAAAAAGTACCATCTTCTCGTCCATGGATCTGATGGATGGATTCTATCAGATCCTCATGCGTGAACGGGACATCTCGTACACAGCAGTGAGAACTCCCAGTGGTATGCTCTGGGAGTGGCTAGTGATGCCACAGGAGCCAAGCAACGCCCCTAAACGTTCAACAGATGTGTTACGAATCTGTTGCGATCGGTTTGAGACTTTGCACCGAGCTACTTTGACAATGTCTTCGTCCATAGCCGGGCTATGGATGAAAAGGCGGACGTGGAGGTTCATAGAATCCACGTCCGGAAAGTTCTTACAATTATGCGAAAGCGTGAGTTGTTCGCGGACCTCAAGAAGTGTATATTTGCAGCGAACGAAATACCAATTCTTGGTTGCATCATGGGTTAAAATGCGTACGCCCTGATCCGGAAAAGATCAAGGCGATTAGCGAATGGCCTGTGCCAGTCATTGTCAAGGGACTTCGTAAGTTCTTTGGCTTAGAGGCGTACTTGCACAAGTACTCGCGCAACTACGCCGTAAGGCCCGTCTATATCTTCTTTTTGTTTAGAAAAATGAGAAGAGGTCATGAAGTGTTAGTGTCAGCACTCGTTTAAAGGTATCAAGAAAAGGTTGATACGATCGCCTGTGTTGGCGATCGCAGACCGAGACAGACAATTCCACGTGGTCTGTGACGCCATCAATTTTTCAATCGGCTGCGTGTTAATGCAGTATGACTCAGACGGCGTTGAGCGCGTCGTCTGTAATCAATCGCGTCAGCTGCAAGCAGCTGAGCATTATTACCCAGTGCATGACAAGGAACTCCTTGCCATGAAATATGCACTGGCTAAGTTTCGGGTATATCTCTTAGGAGATAGGCCCTTTATCGTTAATACCGACCATGCGTCATTACGCACGGCCGTAAACAGTCCACACCTCTTGCAAAAAACTGCGAGGTGGCTGTCATTCTTCGCGATGTACAACTTCTCCGTCGAGTATTAACCAAGACGACTGAATGTCGTCGCTGATGCTCTTTCGCGTTAGTCGACTGCTCCAACGAACAGTAGAAGTGATCCCAATGTCGCAACACTATCAGTGAGTGTTCTGTCGTCGAATCTGCTCGACGACGTGCGGAAAGCATACGCAGAAGATGATTCTATTTTGCGATTGATGGATTAGGGATCTAATCTATGCAGTCAAGCTTTGAAAAGCTTGGCGTCTAAATACCGCTCCTCGACCGAACGATATTTGGTTCGTGATGGACTGCTGTACTTTACATGCGTCAACGGTGACACGCCTCGTGTCGTCGTTCCCGCTCATGTTGATTTGCGATTGCGCATTATGTGTAAGTGTCACATACACAAGATAGTGGGCATCGCGGTTGAGAAAAGACTTACCTCACGGTAAGTCGTGAGTTCTACTGGCCCCGACAGTATGAGTTTGTGCACAAATAAATTCGCACTTGCGAATTTTGTCAACGGGTGAAGCCTAGTCCTTCATCCCGCGCACCCTTGCAGCCCCTACCGATTCCGGCAGGGTGCTGGCAGTCCGTATCGATGACTTCTCTTTGAATTTCCCAAAGCCTTTCACAAGAATACTGGTATTCTTATGTTTGTTGATCGGTTCAGCAAGATGGTACATCTTGTTGCTGTACCGGAGTCAATCACAGCCCAGGGCTGTGCTCGTGTCTTCATCAACACTATACTCCGCCATCACGATTACCCCGTGAAGTCGTGTCTGATTAGGACCCTTGCTTCACAGCGGAGTTCTAGCAATCCGCGTTCCGTTCACTTGGGACACGTTTAAAGATGTCAACTTCTGACCATCCAGAAACAGATGGTTGGACGGAACGCGTCAGCCGCGTCCTCGAAGAGATACTTCGAGAGTACGTCTACTCGTTTACGAGTTGGATTGAGTTCTTGCCGATGGATGAATTTGACATCAACAACTCGGTGCATGCGTCGACAACGCATACACCGTTCTTCATGAATGGCCTACGCCATTCACGTTTACCCGCCTTCTTAGAGTGTGGATGTAGTATAAAGGGGTTAGACTCGCTCGAACAAAAACCGACCTGGTTCTTGCTCATCACACGTCGACATCGGTGTTGACGTGATGGATGCCGATGTCGATCACATCGACATCGACGATGATGATGACGACGATGCTAGTATATTCAGCATATCCAACGGCTGCTACAGTGAGGACTATGACGCCCTCACTGGTAAAGACAACGTTCTTCAGCAGTGCACACGAAGCGCACTGCTGTTAACAAATGTGAATCAGCAGAGAATTTTCTGCTGACTCGTAAAGCGGTTGTCTGCTTCGTTCGAGACTCTATTGCAGACGCAAAAGATAAACAAAACGCGTACACACATGAAGAGAAAATTTTCTTTATGTAATGAAGGCGGCTTAGTTTTACTGTCAACGGTGAATATACCAAAACATACAGTAAATTATGTGGGAGCATTGAATTACTGCCCAAGTATATCGACCCAATCCGTGTATTGCGCCGCACGAACAATGCATGCACGATTTAATTGCCTCGTAGGATGCGTACGCATCCTACATTTTGCGGTGGACGTCTTCGCCCGTACTATCAGTACAAGACCGTTTCGAGATACGAAGAACACTTCCGCGGTCAATGGCCGAGAACACCTTCGAGTGATCCCATTTCAACGAGCCAGTCTGGTCGACTAGCGAAGTGACCTGCTCACGCAGTTGAGCGATGTACTGACGAGCTGCATTCAGCTCGTCACAAAGAGAATGAACGTAACGTTCGCTCTCAAGTTGCGCAAACTCAAACGAGGAACGATCGTTCGAACGATCGTGCGCTAAGGAATTGTAATTATTCCTTAAAAGGCCATGGAGCTCATAACGCCGAGTCCGTTCATGAGCCAGGTCATCGTGTAGATTATCCGTTACACGGTTCAGCTCCTGAATGTCAAGCTGATCCGAACCTCGAGACGGATCAGGTGTTCCCGCCCCCACCATATCCTTTTGGGGATTCTGGCGGTGGTAAACGCTTTCCGGCGGAGCGTATTTTGAACCACCGCGGCGTGAATGGCGTCTGGACGAGTTGCTTCGTCCGCTGGCGTGGCTATCCACCGGCCTGGGACAGCTGGAAGCCTCGTGCCCAGCTGATTGTTGATGTCATGGGTCTCATCGAGCAGTACAACGAGACCCACCCGCTGCGTTCGATAAGGGTCGTCGAAAAATGACCTCCCCGAACGCTAGTACAAGTATCGCAAAGTGTCAACACCTTCGGACATCTCAGCAGAGATGCGCGCCCTCCAGTAGGGATCACTAGGGAGATAAGCCCCCCTAGAGGAACAATTCGAGTTGTCCAGATAACTTGGACACGAATCACCCCAAGAAAGAAAAGGTAATTCTGCCTCTCTTGTCAGTCGGTGGAACTTGTTTCGTACACCGACTGAGTTCGGTTTTTTAATCTGATGCGAGCTATATCAGGTTTACCGAGCCAGGCCTCACGGCCAATACACTAGATGCTATGAATGAAGGCATCCCATCCCTACACCAATACCTTACCGTCGCGGCCACAGTTGCCATTGTACCACCAATGGTCAATAAATACATTAGTGAAGAATTCTTTCTCAGCACAAATTGTTTTCGTGCTGGAATAAGGAGGACAGACCCTCCTACAGTCGAACAACGGGATTCGATCCCGTTTGGTGGTCAAACCGGCCACTCTATCTAAGTCTTTGGTAACGTTATCTAATGAGACTCCACTTGACGGGACTGGCGTAGGTCATTGCGGTCCCAGGCTTTTTAAGTGGTATCAGCATGAGCACTGGCACCGGTAGCAGCTCGATCCCTCGGGTTTCTTCTCTCGTGGTGATGCATAGGGGCACCACAACCATCAACACGCGTCCTATCGTCGGATGAATTTGAGTGAGATGATAAGTTGTCAGAAGAATCGATCGGTCCAAAGGTATTGGACATGATGCCGCCACGTTCCCGAGAGCCATTCAACCTGGCTCTAGCAGTGTCCGCCCCGGATGATCCGGAGGCGTGAGGTGTCGCCTTCGAGTCGGTTGCACCATTTAACTCGCCCGCATAGGTGAGCTCTATTTCAGGCTCATCTACATTGCGATTCGCAGTATCCCCTGCAGATGCAGCGGATGTATCTGTCGCACGTTGTGACTCACCACGTGGACTGTTTACAACAGGCACCGCCTGTTGCTGAATCACAACAGCAGGCGAAGGATCACCTGCTGTTGAAGCAAGAGAAGCACTGTCTTCGGCTGCACGTATGCGCGCAACCGCCTTTCTGGCTGCTTTGGCAGCACACCGCATGGACTTTGAAACCATGCGATGAATTGGCAAATGAGTTAGGTTTGACCAATAAGTGCTCCCTTATCCAGAGTGATCCAACAGAGATCACCCTGTCCCAATAAGTTACATTCAATCAACGGGCCGATTAATGGTTGAAGGGGGGGAACGTTACGGGTATCCCGTTACATGATATTGACACCAAACGGTGTCAATAGAGAGATTGTCTAGCGTGACAATTCCCTACCAAAATTATGCGAGATCAATAATATCAGGGGAACGGTATCCCCTTCTAGGATAAAGTTTACGCGCTGCTCCAAGATTGGTTGATAAAGACACATCAAACGAGTTTACCACCAATCGCTGCTTGACGCGCGTAATGAGTGGTGAGCAGGTTATCGTCATCCGACAATGTAGATAAATACAGTTAGACAAAGACTGAAGTTTAATGATTTGCTTAGGTATATAAAATACAATTCTCTTTTTACCCTTTACTCAACATAGCTGTTTGAGTTGATTTACTTCTTCTGCACGTACTAGTGTACGTGAAGTTTCGCGGCACCCCAAACATAGGGTGCCCCGTTAACCTATGATCACGTAAGCAAAGGCCGGACGCTTAAAGACACAGGCCGACCGCGTAGTCCCGGCCAACTGTACAAGTTTAGTGTCGACATTTACAGCATCGTACTCAATCTTCAGTGACTTCTGTTGTATATTGTTTGTAACTGGATCCGGTACTCCAAACTGGATTACATATATTGGAGGGCGAGCTCCGGATCTTGCTCCCTATCTTAGAAACCAAATATAGAGGCAAACAAGTGTGATATATGCTAAAATATGCGTTTTTAATAAAGGGAATTCCTAAATTCACATCCCTTTTCGTTAAATTCACACCCTTCCTTCAAAATCTAATATATAAAATCTTATTCATTATGATAGATTTGTTTTTGCTGACAAAGATATTACTCGATAAATCGAATGTGAACAAATTGTCAAAGGGGTCAATGAGGGGACGACGTTGTGTGCTTACAATGTCACGTCGAGTCACAGAAGTCACGGTAAGTCTCTGTGTTGCTAACGGTATGTATCGAATCCTAGAAGTCTCGTGAAGTCCCTGAGTTTCCGACGTTATGAGACTCCGAACACCGGTCGCTCGTGAACTCGCGCGAGAATAAATGCTTTCAATACGTACGTGTTATTGAACTGGGAGCGTGGCTCGCCATGATGTATTGTGGCTGATGAAATGTACTGTGGTTTATTTGAATTCGTGACGTACGTTTCTCAGTATTTCATTTTGGTGAAACTGCTTAAGCGTGATTGATCCTGCACGTCCCGATACTGAAATCAATGCAAGTGTGATGCCACGTGATGAAATGGAAACCGTGGCAGAGTCTTAGATTGAAGCAACGCGAAAAATCAGCGTCGACAAGTCCGTCGTGCGAATGCACTGTCGGTATTCTACTTACATGTAGGCAGTACAAACTCCGGATTCCACATTGTATTACCTCGCACCCGATCAAACAGAATCCGCTGCCTCAGTTTCGACAAGGCGCATACATCCTCGAACGCTTTGTTAACTTGCTGGACAACATGTCAAGATATAGCAGGCGTCATCCACGAGCTATGTAGAATTGCTCTCTAAGTAAGCTAGCAAGATCAAGTGTCGTATCAGCAAACCTACTCGGGTCTGCGTCTATCGCAAGTTAGATCCTTCGCTCTGTAATAACAGCCACGCCTTTAAACGCCGTCTTGTCCCCGGGCACAACACGAGGTCACCATTAAGTGGACAGCACAAACTACTCGCTAGCTGAACAACACTGCTATCTCAAGCCAGATTCACAAGCCCTTTACTACGCAGATCCCTTCGCAAACTATACTAGTATCCATTGACGCACTCACATTCGTCACAACTCTAGTCAATGTCATGAGTGCAATGTGTCAAAAGTCGATATATAGAAATGCTTAAGGTGACGGAGCAGATCCGTAAGAGCCTCGGTTCGGATTAGAGTACAAGCGCTTTGTTTCGTCCCTCCCTGACTGCTTACAGACATACAGCATGCTTCACGGACAGCCTGTCAGTTTGCTACCCTCAACCTATTAAGCATATGTTAAGTACGAGATGCATGAATATCGACGTCTTCTCGAGTTGCGCGTAACGTCTTACAATGGTTTAAAAGGCTCGAACACAAATCTTAAAATGAATAAGGATTTTATATATAAGATTTTGAAGGAAGGGTGTGAATCTAAGGAAAAGGGGTGTGAATTTAGCAATTCCTTAATAAATTGCAATAACGATCGATTTTAGGCGATTTAGGAATCCAGACACAAATAGCGTTATTCGTTCTTTTTAAAGTTTTTGGTTAAGCCCTCACACTTAACAATCGGTGGCTCTAGCACTTCGCGATCGACCTCAGTGTCAAATGATGCATAAATAATGGGTTTCTTAATGTAAAAAAATCTCGACTTGCGACAACTGGGAAAGTACGCGACTAGCACTAGCTGAAAGAGCGCAAAAGAAAGCTTTATTGTAAGGAGCATTAGTTAATCCGGCTCCATCTATGGTCCCTTAACTGGAAAAATTAGAAATAAGCTTGAACATGTTGAAACAGAGGGAGTACAAGCTTGCGACGTCGCACCCACCCGCGCCCAACCACCACTTTTCGGTCGCACCCATGACTATAAAAACCATGGGCATGTGTGGGCGCGGGCGTGGGCGTCCAATTTTGATACTCCCTGTAAATTTCCATTATTTTCTACACGAAACATGTCCACCCCTTACGGGGGGGGTCGTGTACAGATCCGATTGACCACTCCCTACCTCCAACCGACCAAACAAACGAAGAACAAAGCGACCGAACGACTGATTAATCAATCGACCGATCCCCAAGTCGACGTCTCCTTATCGATCAGCTGTCAGCACTAATTTAGTATTCTTTCAACGTCGCTACTTGTCGACTGGATGAGCGAGCTACTTCCGCTCTCTCCTTTTCCACGACCAAGACGCCATGTATGCACACGAAACCGATGCAAGACTTGAACCAGCCAATTCAGCAGGCCAGTCGTCTAAGCTGATCAGTGAAAGGACGGATTTTATGCCCAATAGCATCGAGAGCGGACCGCAAATAAAGCTGCCGTAGCTGTTCAGAGATGAAAGCAGTGCAAGAGGGTGGTGGAGTAGACAGAGTGCATGTCGAAGACACAGCGGTGAGACGTGTTGCAGCAACTACGTTTCGTTCGGCGACCGGATGAGCGCACTTAATTTTGCTGGGTGCTGTCTGAATACCCGGTCGTAGTGGCATCTTGGTATCTTTCGCTTAGATACACCTTACCGGGATGCTGAAACGTTAGCGCAAAAGAGGGACTTTGCAACGACGAGAAGGAACGTATCTTTGGCTTTCTAAGTGGAATGTGGCACGCTCGAGTGCGTGTCGGACGGGGGAGATCTGGACTTGAAACTCATCAAGAAACGTTCGAACAGCGTCACACTAGAGCAGAGATGCAGGAACTGTAGAAACACGAGAGTACACGAGAATGCACTCGTAGCACGCTGCATGACATTGCATACTCGTTGTGGAGAGTCAAGCATCGCGGAAGCACGTTGATGCTTGATACGTCAGTAGCATGCGCGGCCACGTGAGTTGACCCCCTGCAGCGTCTGGATCGACGCTGCAGCATCGATCGGGATTGATTCTGGAGCAAATGCATACCATGCAAATGATGAGAAGTTGTTTAAACGACACTGATGCACTACGACGCAGCACGTACAGACAACGCAGTATTGGTGAGTTTGCTCGTGTCTTGTGGGACTAATGTAATAATGACATGCGGTTAAGAAGGTGATGCTGTGTATCGTGCTTTTTTCGAGGACTTTGCTTACACAGCGACATTGCTCGCCGGACATCGAAGCAGACAATCGATGAGACCGAAGCTGATGCCACTTGTACTGCGTATACGCTGATGGATGCTACTATCTTCAATACCTTGTTGTCAGTGAACGACCGGCAAGCGCTACGGCTCAATGCCTCAAAACGCTGATGAACATCTTGTGGTAAGACGATAGCACAACAAGCGCTTTAAAATGCCGGCGCGTTGGGTCGATCAGTGGCCTTGGCTCGGCTCAAAGGTGCACCAGGACTTTCCTTGTATTTTGGGATTGTCGGCACAGCAGCGACGATACCATTCATGTTGCCCTCTAATGTTTACTACCTCAGAGTCCGACTCACAAAGCTCGACTAGGCAGCGATGCTGCACTATTGGATTTGTCTAGTTTATAACATACGCGTGCGTAGGCATCGATGTTACGGGGTACATGATATGCTCCATCGTCCCGCTTAGAACTTTTGGCGACGAAAGAAAGTGCTGTGCCGTGTCCGAATTGTCACATGCAAGCCCTGACGCTCGGAACACTGTTTTAGCCTGCAGGCGCTGTGTGCACCGACTTGATCGTTGTTTTACATGGAATGAAGATCGTGCTGGAATCGGCAACCGCCAAAGCTTTTTGCAATTTCTCACTTCGCTGTTAAGTTTCAACGTTGCCGCCGGCGCCATGTCCGTGAGGATTCTGATGGCAGCGCTTCTTTGTACCCACCTACATCGCGCGTGTTGATAAAATTGGTGAGGACGTATCGTCTCGTGGCGATGGTTCCAATCACGTGATCGGGCGTTAGCTCGAGACCTTGATGCGCCGGCGGCTCATTCACTCATGTGCTGCTGTGCAATAGTCATACCGATCTCCAATTCTGTTTGGTTGACATAGGTTGCCGTTGGTCAAGTTGTTGGATGTTCACCTGCGCAAGGTCAGCTGTAATTCGAAGACAAACAGGCAATTGTACGAGGACAAGAACTTGTATCGGAAGACTTGTTCTGATGTGGTGAGGTTCGTTGGAAGGCGAGTTACAACAAGCCACGATGGCATGGTAAGATCAATGCTATGGCTTTCATTTTTCAAAAGCGCGGCGTACTCAGCGGACGCTTTGCTGACGATTGGGAAGCTTCTGGCGTGAGTTTTGGTGATTGCTGAACTCGCCGCTCTTTGTAGACTTCGTGCTGCGCCGTGCATGGAACATGGTCAGTGTCGGACCTAGCAGTAGTGATGCCATCGAAACAACACTTTTGTCGTACTGTCGCTGCGGTTGTTTTAATGGCAAAATTAGATTGAGTGAAGCTGTCGATTTGATAGACATCGTAATGGCGACGAGGACTCCGTGTCATATGAAGTGCCTCAATGACTCGATAAACAATTGTTACACGGACCGCCTTCTGGGCCCCAACAATGCAATAGAAGCGCTGACATTTACGTCAATTTCTTTTGATAGTGCTCATTCTTACGTTGTGAAAACAAGACAAGTATTGTTTCCATACATATTAAGCATTGCATTGCTAGTAAATTACAAGCGTTGTCAATCTGCTTGCTTGCCTCAGTCCCTACGAACTCTGTGCAGCATGTAGCAACAACCTCCCCGATGTCTTCTGCTCACCGAAAAAAACAAGGGACTGAGGACGCAACATAAGGAACGACTATCCGTCAAAGTATATTTCCAGACGAGTTACGGTCAGCCAAGATGCATCAAACGCTACTTCAACACAATCTGAAGAAAACAATGTCATCACCTCCACTGTCTCTTGCTCCCATGTGTGCGAGAACGTGCGAGCGTGTGCAGCGTTAGGCTCAACATCCACTAAATCCGGCCACCCACGTCCTCTTTTACTTGCTCTCCCACCCATCTCCTCACCGTTGAACCGTCAGGTATTTTATTTTTTCGGTCTTGCTCAACAGTTCCTCTTCGTCCTTCTTGCTGTAGTCGAGTCTCGCTTGGTACATCTGGATGTACTGGACCATCGCTTCGTGGTATGGAGAAGCATAGTTATGAGCCTTATCGAACGTCTCGTTGCTCATATAGAGTTTGTTGTAATGAGCCAATAATATTTGGCTCACTCGCTCTGGGGTGAAACCGTCTTCTAGCCAGACAGCAAGCATTTTGTCCTTGACTATTGCTGGATACTTGTAAGCTAGATAGCTCTGCATCATGAAAGGACGACGAATGTCAACACGCCATTCGCTATGCTTATGAATGGCTATCATCAGCTCATCAGGTTCTACTCCAGGTAGACCAAGCACATCATTGGCCAAGTTGCCATAGTACATATGCGTATTCACTGTTTCAAGTCCTTGAAGACTCTCGTGCTGCACACTTGTTCTCATGGCGACGTCCCATTTCTGGATAACGTCCAGTGCCGCAAGTTCATCGCCGTTGAGGTCGACCGATCCCGTCCTTAGGCATAGAACACCCTTAATCCTCTCCCACAGACGAAGGAATGGGTTCGTCATAGTTGGAATTTCCCTCTCCTCGTTCTGGCTTTGCTTGGCCATGATTCCGCCGGGCTTGCTTACTTGCGCAGGTTCATTCGTGGTGAGCGATTCCTCGTTTGCGCGCATACGATCAGTGGGCGAGGTGAGACCAGCATACTTAGTCTGCCCATCGCCAGCTGTAGCTGGTCCAACATGTCCTGCTTCAAACAAGACCAAAGCCGTGAATGTACAATAGGTCAAGCGCATACCTGTACCTGTTGTTTGCTAGGAAATTCGCGAAATGAGAGACGCGTGCTACGAATTTTTGAGTCGCCATAGGGGAACATTCCCCAATCATTCCTGACACATCTTTCCTTCCCCTAATAGCTCCGGTCTGTTCCGAGGCTGGCTCCACAATAGGGCTCCGCTAGCAGCGTTCCATCCCGCTAATCTCGCTCTTATTACTGCCTTACTACCGTACATCTAATCGAGATTCTATTACTTTGTCTTTCACACAATTCTTTGGAGTCAAGAAAACGTTTAGCGGACCTCTTTAAACTTGGCAAACGCTCCATCAAGTGTCGAATGTAAGAATGCGCAAAACGCCGAATACAAAACAGCCGATAAGTGGTCAATAGAGTTTATTCTGTAGAGTGTAAGGTGTTAACGGGCTAGTGAAACGCGCGAACAAGTCACTTTACGAAGATGGTGGTGTCGGTCAGCAAGGCGCCGGCGAAAACGATAGCTCGTGGCGCGCCATTTGTAACAGGGCACCCTTAGCTCGGGCGCCACGAAACTTCACGTACACTAGTACGTGCAGAGCAAGCTAATCTACTCAACGACTATGCTGAGTAAAGGGTAAAAAGAGAACTGTATTCACCTTAGTTTAGGTATCAATATAACTTCAGTCTTTATCTAGCTATATTAATCTACATTGTCGGATGACGACAACCTGCTTACCACTCATTTCGCGCGTCTAGCAGCGATTGGTGTTAATCTTATTTGATATATGTTTTATCAACCAATCTTAGAGCAGCACATAAACAATATCCTATAAGGGATCATTATTTCTTCAAGATGACTTATCTCAGTCAGCTCATCGAGGACACTCTCATCCATCGATGAGCTACTGGGAACCCGTTCGTTCTCAGTAGACACTTGTGCCGACCGAATTTTGGAGTCCTACTCGTCCTCTGTGACGAGTACGCAGATCTGCTTGATCTTGTCACTACGCAGATCTCGCAAGAATCTTTCAGATTCTAGCGTTGGCAACTTGACTACCTCCGAAGCTGACTCTGGAGGTGTAACCAGATCAAGTGTACAAGTGCCTACAGTAGATCCGTCACTCACCATGACATTCACTGTCTCGGTGATTTTCTGGGTCAATACATCCGCAGGTGGTTGGGGATCCACACCCTCAACATAACTCTCTCGGGAGTTATCACTCTTAGGAGCGCTGGAACTTTCTTCCAATACGTGTTCTGACTGTGGGTGCATGACCACATTCAGGTCCTTTTCGATCGACTCTCTGTAAGTCTATCTTGTTCGCTCTGTGATCGACTCTCTGTTAGCCGATCTCGATTTAACGTGTTGTTCATTCCGAACAACACTCATCTCTCTTCTTGGATGCACCCTTGTTGGTGTGCATCCGTGTTCCAATCCACTAGATTTTTTCGAGTGGCGAACCTTCGGCGCAGCCTGTGTCTCTAGACAGGTTTCGGAAGTTGGTTCCACAGTGTAGTGGCCTTCTACACTGTGATCTTGTGCAGTCATACTAACGACCGTACCACAAGTGAGGCCATCGCACTCACTCGTAGGCCGGTCAAGCATAGGAATGGCTAACAAATGCAGGTTGACGAGGAGGCTATACACCACCAGACGCAGACGCTGGTCCAAAAATGAAATACGCAAGTGGTAGTTCGTCGCACGCAAACGAGAATAATTGCATGAACGACTTTGCGATCAGATAACTGGGATGCTGCATGACGACCGAAACGAGAATACGGACTTAGTAGCTGGCCCAAGCATCGATCACTTCAGTCTATTCCGCTTTCTTCGTGAGCCGTTAGTGTTGCTTGATGACGGTGGCGATTTGCCTGAGAAACATCTTGGCTGACATGAAATGAATCACGTGCTGATACCCAAGCGTGTATTGATCTTGACGGAAAAGCTGCTGTCCTCCTGGTGCCGAAACAGCTTCAACGTTGTCTTCGTCCATAAAGTTGAGAAACATCTCACCAATCAAAACTTAAACGATGGGCGCACTTATGGTGAACATAATAGCGGAGCTCGCGTCATCAAATGAGTAAGCAAAGTTTCCCTAAATTACGGCCGCTTGAAAACATAATTACTCAAACTAGATGCCTTGTACTCGGTCCACTTGTCCACTTGGCCTCTTTGTAACGGACTTGGTAATTTTTCGCTCTGTAAGGTGGTGCAAAGAGTTTGACGTTCTGTGTACGCTTGCATTTGGCACCAACAATTTTCTCCCGACCATGGAAACGGTAGAACTGGCATTGAACACTGTCAACGAAACCGCTCGCGTCCCGGAATACCACCTTGACACCGTATTGAACTTCACGCTTTGCTTTAATTGGTTTGCGGGAGTGTGCTTTACATACTAATGTTCAAACAAACGGTGTCAATAGGAATATTGTCTATCGTGACAACCTTGTGCCAAATGTACCTGAGATATGTAATATTGAATGAATAATGATCCCTATAGATAATATTTGCGTGTTGCTCTAAGATTGGTTGATAAAACATATATCAAATAAGATAAACACTTTTCGCTGCTAGACGCGCGCGATATGTGGTGAGCAGGTTGTCGTCATACGACGACGTAGTTTAATGTAGTTTGATAAAGACTGAAGTTATATTGATAGCCAAACTATATCAAATACAGTTCTTTTTTACCCGTTACTCAGCTTAGTCGTTGAGTAGATTAGCTACATCTGCACGTACTAGTGTACGTGAAGTTTCGTGGCACCCACGGTAAAGATGCTCCGTTACACCTGGTAGCACTTCGTAGTCTGTCCAACGACTGCTTAGTGTCCGTCCAACGTGAACGTGTTGGACGTAGAAGACGACAGCTTTCACGTCACACGTGATGGCTACTCCCATCTGAGCGACTCAGAATGGGAGGTAGTCGGCCGCATGAGTGTGCCTATGGGCGAACCCGCCATCATTGGCATGTGGAGTCTCTAAATAGAGATTGGCCATATGCTGCTATCAACGAGTTCCGACAAGGGGAACTTGCCGTCGAAAGACAGAAGACAGCCTTGCTACAACATCAAGGCTCTCATCAGTCTCGATGGGCGCGCCGACGCACATGCGTCGACCCGAAACCTTGAAGATAGACATATCAAGGTACAAGGGAACCGATAAAGATTCCCTTTTGAGATGGTTCGTCGAGTTAGACGACGCCGTTACGGCCAGTCACATCGAGGGTGACGAGATCCAAGTCACCTTTGCCCTGTCAAATTTGACAGGAAGAGCAAAGACTTGAGCTCTAGGGCTCAAGCTTCACGACCCAAACGTGTTTGAGTCGTTAGAGATCTTGAAGTTTCGGCTCAAAGAGACGTTTGAGCCGCCGAGAGCCGATTTCCGATCACGCTCTGCACTCCTGAGGCTCAAGCAAGGTAAGCGTGATGTGCACGCTTATGCACAGCTCCCGCGCTACCTTGCGAGTAGCGTCACGGATAACCCTGTTGATGAGCACACTCTCATCAACGTGATCATCTACGGTCTTGTAAGTGGACCGATCAAGACCTACATGTTCCGAGAGGACTTCCCTACGCTGGAAAAGGCTATAGCGTATGCGAAACAAGAAGACTTCGGCCTGATACAGTCTCAGGCTAACTCGATAAAGTATTGTCCGACGAGGGACGATAAACCGGAGGTCCCGAACCAATGGACCTCTGCTACATCGAGAGCGAGAACTCTCGCTCTCTGAGTCACAAGCGAACGACAAGATGCCATCGCTGTTAGGAGAGAGGGCACTACGCTCATGAGTGTAGTGTCTCAAGCATCGCATCACGTCCTACGACAGGACATGATGACCTACGTAGGCCGAGGATAGGTCCAAGGCGTGGATCCGACCATGTCGCTAAGCCGCGACAGCAAGTCGGACCGTCAAAAACGGACAGGGTCAGTAGGGGCGGAGCGCTCTGCTGATCCAGCAACGTCAAGAAAATTTGCAGGAATCTTGACGAAGATTGCTGCCAACGCATAGTTGATGTGTGTTACTACCCCGAGTGATGAGGTGTCCCTCATCACCATGAAGATCTAAGTGAAAAGTGGAATGTCACTTCGCGTTCTAGTTGACTGTGGTGTGTCGAGCAGTTTTATTCGACGCCAGTCGCTAGAAGAGAGAAGACTCGACTATGTTGAGCGAGAGATCCCTTCAACGAGGATGACGGTGTGCCTTGCTACTGGGGCATCCGTAATAGTGAACAAACGTGTGGCGGAATCCACTACAAGGTAAAAGGAAATCAGTACGATAATGATTGCATAGTACTGGATCTGGATGAAAAATCTGATGTCATCCTCCGTCTGCCATGGCTTCGAAAGTGCCAGCCATGGATCAGCTGGCAGCATCGATCCGTGGAGATGCCTGCCGTCTGTTCATCAGATGGCCATCTGATGAACGTCATGGAGCGTCCACAAACGTGTGGATGTACGCTATTAGTGAGGTTCATCTGATCACCAAGTTCATGGATGCGATTAAATTTTAATCGGCGCAAAAAGCTGATCGGCTTCTATTTGGACGGAGAGAACACCATGTCAGGCTTTCGTGGTGGATTCATCACTCTACTCGAGCAGCAGGCGACGAAATGTGTCCTGCACGTCTGGTGTCCTGTGCATCTGATGGGTCGTGTCGTGAAGGCGGGTTAGCCATGATTGAGGATGGGCTATTCGTCGAAGTAACGAATTGATGAACTGTGCAACTGCGCCTTCAGGAGAATTCGGCTGACAAAATTGGCTCAGCGTATCGGAAGCTGAACAATTGCTGGTGCACATGAGCAACACGATCTTTTGGATACTAGACACGCGCTTGCGTCTGCTGACGCACTTCAAAGAGCAAAATTTTGTTGGTGTGGCTACTGAGGTCTTGTCTATCGAAGCAGCGGCTGATGTGGTAGTGA